ATATATATATATATATATATATATATATATATATATATATATATATATAGCAGATAACATGCTTGCATGCAGTTAATACATAATACCACTCCATCGTGCAGCAGAGCAAAACAAAACAAGCGAAAAGAAAGGAAATTAGACCCTATATTTATATTCAGAGAGAGGAGGGGGGGGCCCCTATACATGCAACTTGGGGGGCCCCCCGACGCCAATGAAATCATACATAATCCGTGGTGATATATCAGCGGACACCACACAACCCCCTGTTCACCTGCGCCTGTTGTTGCTGTTGCTGCTACTGCTGCTGCTGCTGCTGCTGGTGCTGCTGCTGGTGCTGCTGCTGTTGATGCATTGTTTTGGTGTTATAGGGGTTTCTTGGGGCCCTTTATCTCTCTATAAGGGTCCGTGTCCCCTCGTCCACTTCTCTGACCATGTTTTGTGTATTGTGAAACATAAATCCATTCTATCATCAAGAGAACTAAGAATCATATATATTGCTTTTATCTTTCCTTTTAGCTCTGCTAGCGCTGCTCGCTCTGTAGCCCATGCCTCTTTGGTTGCTTTCACGCGTCCGTCTGCTTCTTCTAATAATTTTTCCATCTTTGCAATCCATGCATTGCGGCTGAGGTGTCTAGACACCTCAGCATCTATGACCCGCAAGAAGCTTTCTTGATACAGCTCTGTGCTGAGTAGGCCAAATAGAAGTTTCTGCAGCTGTTCTTCTTCTTTTGGGTTTAACTCTTCTTCTAGTGTTCTTCTGAGGCTGTGTATCTCTCGTCTGCTTGTTGCTAGCGTTTCTCTTGCTGCTGCTTGCATAGCAGCAATTCTTCTTTGGTNTGTATCTCTCGTCTGCTTGTTGCTAGCGTTTCTCTTGCTGCTGCTTGCATAGCAGCAATTCTTCTTTGGTGATGTTCCTGTGCAGCCCATTCATCCTGAATGCCTCTCTTGAGTGCTTCCTTAGCCGCAGGTTCTATCAACAGCTTTCTCTCTGCTTTTACTGCCCATAGTTCTGCTGTGAATGCTTCTATTGCTGCGTGTACATGAACCTCTAGATCAGCTACTGCAACACGTAGCTGCTCCTTTAGCCGCAGTGCTTGCTGCCTCATCTGTGGAGATAGAGAGTCTAGAGCCATAACACGCAGAAGAGTGTTATACCGAGAACGAACTTCTGTTTCTAGCAACGCCATCTTACTCAGAGCAGCTCCTGCTTCTTTTCTTTGGGTTTCATCAAGCCAATACAACCCACCCCCTTCTTCTTCTTTTATCTCCTGAAGAAGAGTTCGTCGATCCCTCGCCGCCATCTCTGCCTGAGATGCGAGACGAGTTTTTGCTTTTCTTACACTCAGCAGCAACTGCTCCTCTTGNCCGCCATCTCTGCCTGAGATGCGAGACGAGTTTTTGCTTTTCTTACACTCAGCAGCAACTGCTCCTCTTGTAGTGCTGCGTTTTTTTTTCTCAACTGCTCACGCAGCAACTTTATTGCTTCTTCTTGTTCTGCTAGGTCTTTGGCTGTTTCTTCTTGTGCTTCTTTTAGTGCATTTGCATCTGATAGACCTTTCTTTACCTCCTCCTTCTCTACAGCTAGGTCTCTGTCTATCTCCATCATGAACGCCTCTCTCTCTAGCAGTTGATGCCCCTCTGCTGAGCGGACCCTCATTATATGTTCCCCATAAGCCAGGGCTAGAGCGAGTGCAGCAACAGCAGCAAAATAAGCTAAAGCCTTTCTCCTCTCAGGCTCTTTCCAGTAGTCTTCACCGCGTCTATACATACGCCGTGATATATAACGAATAGAACTCCCTGCACTACGCAGAGCCCGGGTCCACCCATCTCTTCTATCTCCCTCAAGCCCAGGGACCACCAGATCAGCCCATCGCTTCACTGGCTTTGCTTGCTGGGATCCTCCTCCCCACCCCTGATGCTGAAACCCACGAACACGATCCCTAGATGCGGACCCACCCCTGCGGCGAGAGGAAGATACGCCNCCTGATGCTGAAACCCACGAACACGATCCCTAGATGCGGACCCACCCCTGCGGCGAGAGGAAGATACGCCAGAGGCCCCCAATGCCTCTCTCTCCTTTTCACCGTCCCCATGCGCACCCTCTCCCTCCAGTGCTACATGCATACCACGCACACCGTTCTCTTGGTTGACTCCTTCCCTCCATGTGCCAGGGGGCCCCACACTTGATGGGGAATATGAGGGGGCCCCCACGGTGGGGGCCCCGTACAGCCGGGATTGTCTGCCAGGCAGGTCGCCGTAGTCACGCGGCGCAGGATAGGGAGCAGCAGCATCTGCTGCAGCAACAGAAGCAGCAGCAAACGCTGCGAACAGCAACAAAGCACGAGGACACCCCCCAGTCATCCCCACAGCGCGCAGTCCAGGGGCCTCGGCCACGAAGGAGGTGGAGCTCCTGACGGGGCCCCGCCTGTCTCCAGTCCCGCCGTTGCCGTCGTGGAGCAGACGCTTCGTTTTCGCCTGCATGTAGGCAGAGGTTAGAGCTGCTGCAGCAGCGACAGCCGCCTGCGCTGGTGCCCCCACGCCAAGCACACCCCTGCTAGTAGGGGCCCCGTAAAGGGAGACCTGGAGGCCCCGCTACTGTCTCTGAGCCGCGCGGTGAGGAGCAGCTGCCCACCCCATCACGCATGCCGGCGCCTGCAAGCCCGCAAGAGGCCCTGGAGACGACGGAGGCGGCCGTCAAGGCCGCAGCGAACGGCGGGTAGTGGGGCTAAGGAAAGGCTCCTAAAGGAGACTGCACCGGGAGAGCTGCATGCAGCCTGAGGGCGTCTCTCGCAGACGATACTCAGGCGTACAAGCATGCAAGGCGGAGAAGTCAAGAGGCCGCCGTCAGAGCTGCAGCTGCAGCTGCAGCACCGTTGCTGGTTGCTGCTCCCTGGCCGCGATCGCCTGCAGGCGCCCGCAGGTGCCGGCAGCGCCTGTTGAAAAAAAACGCAGGCGGAGAGATGAATCCCTTCGGTATTTGTACAGCGCATTTAAAAATGGGTTTAAATGCATTTCTTTTAGCTGTTGTTAGCAACACCAGCAGCACACAGCCGCATGCGGTCAAGGACTCCCGTCCCCAGGAGGCGGACTGTTGTTGTTCCGGGGTGTTCAGCAGCTGACTATTGTATCGTGGGTACTGTGCAGGACACCAACTAACCGAATATAGTTATTCTCATTCATAAACTGTAAATTTCGATGATCTTTCAATGAGTATGAGTAGAAGACGGGGGAAGAAGAAGGGGATTCGGGTGTCTGTGTCCATGTAGCGAATCAAGCTGGGGCAACACCGCTATCGCTCAGAGGGGTCTCTCAACAAGCGGGAAACATATAGGNGTAGCGAATCAAGCTGGGGCAACACCGCTATCGCTCAGAGGGGTCTCTCAACAAGCGGGAAACATATAGGCGCTGCTGGACGAAACCACGCTGCTCCTTGGCTCCAAAATTGTTCGTACGAAATCTATTTATGTTCATGTGTGCTCCTTATCCAGCCGGACCAATAACTGGCTCGGGTCGGCCCCCGTGCCGGGGGCGGTCGCACTTGTGAAAGTCCTTGCTGCGTTTTCTATGTGAAGTTGGCATGTGTACCGTTGCTCGCGTGCATGCTGGCTATGTATATGCAAACAGGTGGTCAGAAATCATCTATAGTGTCGGAGCATACAGCTAAAGACTGTCGGTTATGCGGGCTATAACGCTTGCTCTCTGGTATCGAGCTGCAATGTAGAGTTAATGTATGAGTTTCCCGAAAGCAACTGACGTCCTTTCCCTATCCTCAGGCGTCCTAGGCATTGAGGCCTGGGCGTCGGGGGGAGGGGGCAGCCTGAAGTGGGACTGCAGCGCACCTCGCCGCGGCTGGTAATACAAGCTAGCCTCATGCGTGCACGCAAGGAAGCTTCAACAAAGCTTCCTTTACCGCACGCTTTAGCTCCGAATACNCTAGCCTCATGCGTGCACGCAAGGAAGCTTCAACAAAGCTTCCTTTACCGCACGCTTTAGCTCCGAATACACGTACAGAACATTTCTACTTGCTTACACGCAACATGCCAAGGCCAAGTAAATTTTCCTGCGCTAACTGCAGTCAGACCATGCTACACGTATAACGTTAGCAGCAAAAAGAAGTGTGAACAATTAAGGCGCTTTCCGGGAAGCAACGAGCTCTGAGACACTAACCTTCGAAGGTTACTTACTTCATGAGACTATCCACTCAATGCAGGAAACAAATGCGGTGAACGGGGCACTTCAACCCGAAAAAGAGAAATAACATAAGCATGTAGAATTCATCACATGTGGCTCGCATACAGATGCGGTGGACCCTAAACCCTAAACCCTTAACCCTAAACCATACATCCTTATGTCGTTTCTTATTTCTTCTGCAGCGCAGAAGAAATAAGAAACGATATAAGGATGTATGCTCGCATTTGTATGTGAGCCGCAGTGTGATAACTTCTATATGCTTATCTCGTTTGTTATTTGAACAGAACGAGGGCACGCAGATGTTCCTTAGGGATTGTTCCGCTCAAGCCACTCTAAGGAACGCACTTGGATCATTGATATCCAGGTAGTCTTAAGTAATGTCCCCATCCTCTGCGTCATCTGTGCGTCCAGAGGCTTGTTATCGCCCAGCTGCTCGTTCTTGCACTGATGCTACCGGCGTTTCGCGGGGGAGTTCGAGATAATCTCGATGATTTCCTGAATCGTTTCAGAAAATCGTCACTAATAGTAATATGGTATATAATGGTACATCTTTGGTGGCATCACCAAGCTGGGGCGTATATATACGATTTCCGCCAAGCCGTTGGCCCGATAATGAACAACAAGCGACCGTGCCCAAATCATGACGAACTTCTTCGGTTGTTTGCCCTCTTCCTCGCATCGTAGAGCATGCAAATCCACCGAAACAAATTCATCTTGCTACCTTCCCAACCTGATTTATTGTAGCTTCTGGCTGGGCGTCTTCTTGTCCCTTTCTATTTTTCGAGCTACGGCAAGCTCTGCATGGTACTCTGCCGCTGCAGGCCTATGACAGTGGATTTTAGTACCCAAGTCCAGTATTTGGTCAATGAATACTCATTCGGCGCCCATCCGATGAGCCAGAGAACAAATGGCCGAAACGTGCACTGTTGTATTAAAATTCCATTCCTCACAACAGAGGAAGCCACCCCGATTTGATGAATTTAGCGCAGCATGCAGGTTCAAGCACAGCACAAGAGTGCAGTTGTTGCGCCCAGTTTGACTGTATGCCGCTAGGTGATTCGCACTCATCCTGTTACGTTCAAGATTGAGGGGTGTCATGAATTCGCGCGAGGAAGCGCTGACGAGCACGGCTCCTCCTCAGTAATGTTGCTTTTCTGCAAAGGTGGAGTTTCCACACGTGAATAATGAGTAATTAACTTCGGTGTAGGTGCACACCCAGGTTGACAGAGAGAAAGACTGGCAGGTTCATAAACATGGTTCATAGCCGGACTGCCCCGGGAGAAACGGAACCGGTAGCCAACTGGGCCGCTGAGGGGGAACTTCTACGGGATGGGGTGGAAGTGTGGCAATTGGTGGAGTCTTCAAAAGCAAATTATACCTTCTTCTGAAGCATCTGACGAAGAGCATTCGATGCGTTTTAATTGTTCGGTGGCAATGCCGGCCCATGCAGTACGAGGTAACAGTCATGTACATCATGGGTGTCGCGAATGTAGTCTCTGGCGCACTCTCCCGATGCAAAATTTTCGAACCCAAGTGTCGGTAGATGTTTTCTTGCTCCTAGACGCCCACACAGCTTCCGTTCTTGTCAAGCACAATAACGGATGACATGTCAAGCACCGTAGCGATCTCGGATGGCACCGAATGAAACGTAAAATTCGTCGAATCACGCCCGAGCTGAGTTTCATACAGATATCTTGACGCAAAATGCATGCTCTTGCTTTATTAGAGCGTGGTCGTCTCAGCATAGCTGCTGACCGACGAATTTTACGTTTCGTTCTGTGCCATCCGACATTGCCGTCTATGCTGCGGTGCTTCACATGTCATCCGTTATTGTGCTTGACAATGACAGAAGCTCTGTGGGCGAGATACTACATTTGCGATACACATGATGTACATGACTGTTACGTCGTAGTGCATGAGCCGGCAATGCCACCGAACAACTAAATCGCATCGAATGCGGCAGCCCAGAGGCCTCGTGACGGGGGAAAGAAGGCGGCCAGGCATGATATAACGGTTGCTCTCGGGCTTTAATCAATGACAGAAGTGAGCTGCAATGCAGGTAAAGACTTAAAGTAAGAACTTCCCAGAAGCAGCTATCGCCCTTTCCCTGTCCTCAGGCGTCCTAGGCATTGAGCTGAGGCCTAGGCGTTGCGGGGAGGGGGCAGCCTGAAGTGGGATTGCAGCGCACCTCGTTGCGGCTGGTAATAGAAGCCAACATCACGCGTGAGCACAAGGAAGCTTCAACGATGCTTCCTTTGCTGCATGCTTTGCCTCTGAATACCGTATAAAGCATATGCGTTTGCTTACACGCAACCTACCAAGGCCAAGTGAAGGCTCCTGCGCTAAATGGAGGCAAATAATGCTACACAGGCCATGATACACCATGCTATAGAGACCATGCTGCACCGTGCTACAGCTGCAGTTGGTAATACGAGCCAACTTCAGGCGTCCACACGGGGGAGCTTCAACACAGCTTCCTCTGCTGCATGCTTTACCTCTGCATGTATTTAAAGAGATTCTGCATTTGCTTACACGCGACCTACCAAGGTCAAGTGAAGGTCCCTCTGCTAACTGTAGGCAGACCATGCTACATAGACCATGCTAAACCATGCTACAGCTGAGGCTGTCGGTACAAGCCAGCTTCAAGAGTGCACACGAGGCAGCTTCAACGAAGCGTCCTTTACTGCATGTTTTACCCCTGAATACACTTATAGAACGTCTGTGTTTGCTTATACGCAAACTATAAGGGCCAAGTGGAGGCACATGTGCAAACTCCAAGCAGACCATGCTTGTAACATGAGTTAGCGCAGAGTTAGTTCAGGAGCCTATCGGCGGCTTTGGCATGCTGCGCGTAATCGCCTGCAAACGTTATACAAGTTCGTTACGAGGCAAAGCATGCAGCAGAGGAAGCTTCCCTGAAGCTTCCTTTCGTGCACGCATGGGGCTGGCTTGTTCTGCCAGCCGCAGCGGGGTGCGCTACAACACCATCTCTGGCTGCCTCCTCCCCGCGACACCCTGGCCCTGGGCTCAACGCCCAGGATGCCTAGGGACCGGGGAAGGAGGTCAGCTGCTTTTGGGAAACTNAGGTCAGCTGCTTTTGGGAAACTCTTGCTTTAAGTCTTTGCCTTCATTGCGGCTCGTCTCTGGTCAGATAGAGGCCAGAGAACTAGCGTTACAATGCTACAAGGGAATAGACCACCCCTTTTCCTCCAACCCGACTAATTCCATGTCAAATTATTTGGACTTTCTGTGATTCTCAACGGGAATTTCGGTAACTTCCCCCCTCTGGT